GTCCAGTCACACCAAGTCTTTCTGTTGGGTTTAGGCCCCAAATTCTGAACTGTTGGTTCAGATGCCACCCAGAAACCTCCCAGCACCTGGCCACTGTGGAGCTACAGTTGCCAAGTGCCTCCTTGGGGCTGGGCACCGCCACAGCCTGGTGCTGAGATGACAGAGCTATGGGTGAAGCCTTCATGGGCTGTGCTGCATCGGTGCCCACACGCTGCCCTGGCCAGGGCGGGTGCAGGAGAGCAGCCCGAGCCCTGCCCACAGGCTGGGCCGTGAGGACCGTGGCAGGCGCCATCTCACTGGAGGAGGGAACTGAACCACGGGGCGCCTTTCCCCATTTCCAGCCCCAAGCTGCTTCCGAATGGTCTTGCACGAGCCTCAGACAGCTCTAGCCCAGTCCCTAAGCAAGGGTGGGGTGGCTCTTGCTGCACTCGATGGATACAGACACTTGAGCCATCAAACAATGGAGCTGTTGGGTCTCTGTTCCGCACGTGATTCTGGTCCTTCAGATTTATTTCTTCCTCACTGTCCAAAACCAGACAAAAATGCACATGGCAAATTGGAGTAATAGATTCGGCACGATAACTAAGTCATTCCTCCAGTCCTTTGGTCTCCATTGTTTATTATCCCCACTCCTCCTCAGCATGCACCTCCCTTTTGTATGTTTGCCCGACTTTTACCTCTCTTCCCCTCAACTTCCCATAGGCAAGACAAGAGAATTGAGTGAGTCGTTAGGGAAGCTGGTACCAAGCCGATATCAAGTGGGGTCAGTCCTGGGGCTGGCTTTGTTCAATGTCTTTGTTAGGACCTGGAAGGTGGGATGGAGTGCATAGACAAGTAGACATCAAATCAGGAGAAGGCACGAGCACAGGTTGAACAATTTTCAACACAGCAGGGAATACCAAGAGAGCCCCAAATTCTTCAGGGCAGAACCTCTCTTTTACCTCTGACTAGTAAATGGAGTTTTGGTCCTAAGTGAGGGGGGTCTCTTAATTGTTAACAGTAATACAAATAATGTTATTTGACCCCAGCAGTCTTTTTCCTGCCCAGAGCAGGGGGCCTGGACCCAATGATCTCACAAGGTCTCTTCTAGCCCTGAACTTCTGTGCATCTGTGTTGTGGGAAAGAAGTGCAGCTACATTCATTCATATTCAGAAGTGGCCCATACACACAGATCACTGACATTACGGTGGCATAGTTAGTTGCTTTCAGGGAGCCTATTGCATCTTGTGTTGCCATCTTGTCCTTATGTCTAGGCAAAGGTGATTCGCCGTTATAACATTCCATTAGATTGTCAGTCAGAGTCTTTCTGTTCCTCAAAACTATTATTCTAATTCTTTTTTTTTTTTTATTGTTACAGGAATTTTATTAATGTTATTGGTTGTCCACACCAATGGAGCATTATCATTCTGTTTTAAGGACAAGTAGTTCATCAACTATTCCAGTTAAGAATGCTAAAAATAGTTATAAGGTAAACATCATATTTTAAAATAAGCTAAAAGAAGTAGGTGTTATTACAAAAAAAAAATTGAAAGTAATGTAGGCAGACCCATACAGTATGCAAAAAATAATATATACTTGTTTATGTTCGGTACTCTGAAAGGCAAGATTAGCCTCAGGATTGTTTTTAATTA